GAAAAAAGTCATGGCCTGCCTGAATCAGGTGCACCTTAGTCTTTAAGTTAACATCATTACTACTAAATAATTTTGAAAGGTCTTTGTTCAACTCAATATATCTCCTGATCTTTTTACTGCTGATGCCAATGTTGAGTGTGAATCCAAGTAACAAGAATTCATTAATAACTTCAATCTCTTTTTCTTCTATCATGATGTTTATTGGTCCATTGATGAGGACTTTTGTCTTCCTGATGTTGAGATGCAATCCATATTGCAAATTGTAGTCTTTGATCTTCTTCAGAAAGCATTTTAAGTCTGCCTCACTTTCAGCTAAAAACGTTGTGTCATCTGCGTAATGCATATTGTTGAGTCTTCCTTTGATCCCGATTCCACATTATTTTCCATAGAGGTTAACCTCTCAAATGATTTGCTTAGTGTACAGATCGAATAGGTGTGGAGAAAAGATAGAACCCTGACACACACTTTTCCTGGTTTTAAAGCTTTTAGTCTTCCCTTGCCCTGCTTGGACAACAGTTTCATGGTCTAGATATAGGTTTTGCATGAGTATAATTAAGTGTTCTGGGATTCCCATTCTTCTCAATGTTAACCATACTTTGTTATGATCCACACTGTCAAATACCTTTGCATAAGTCAATATAGCACAAATAGATCTTCTTATGGTACTTTCAGCCGAGATCCATCTGACATTAGGATTGGTATCCCTGGTACTACGGTTCTTCTAAACACATCTTGAACTGTCAGTTCTTTCTCAATGTACTCTTTTGCCTGGTTTTAGATAATCTTCAGCAATCTTCTGCTTGCATGTGATATTGATGATACTGTTTGATAATTTTCATATTCAGTTGGTTCACCTTTCTTGGGAATGGGAACAAATATGGATCTCCTCTGGTCAGTCAGCCAAACAGCTGCCCTCCAAATTTCATTGCATAAACTTGTGAGCATGTGCAGGGCTCCATCTGTCAGTCAAAACAGGCCAGTTGGTATTCTATCGATTCTTGAGGCCTTACTTTTTTTTGCCAAGGCCTTCAGCATAACTTGAAATTTTTCCTTCATTAGTATGCCTCTTACTCTTTTTCAGTGTTGACCAATTCTTTTAGTACACTGATCCTGTATTCTCTTCTGTCTTCTACTGATGTTTCCTGGATCATTCAAAATTTGCCCATAGAACCCCTCAGTATTGCAACACAAGACTGAATTAATGTTCCAGATGTTGAGCAAGTTCTTCTTTTTTTATTCTCCCACTCCAGTTCTTCACATTTTCCATTTTGTCTTCTCTAGTGTCGCCTTGAGATATTTTATTCACCTCTTTTACTTCTGCATTTATCCCCTTTGTTTCAGCTTCTCAATGCTAGTGCAATTTTCAGTGTCTTCTGTCTGTGCACTAATGTTTTGCTATCTTCAAGGATTTTGTCTTTGATATCATCTAACTCATCTTGTCTTTGATCATTAGTTCAATGCCTCAAACCTGCTCTGGAAATTATTTTTTTAATTCAGGTGGGAAAGACTCAAGGTCACATTTTGGTTCTTGTAGGATTTTTTTAGTTTTTCTCAGCTTCAATTTGAGCTTGTACATGACTAATAGATGGGTTTTTTTTCAGTTAACACCTGGCCTGGTTTTAACTACTGATATTGAGCTTCTCCAATGAGACTATCTACAAATGCAGTGCATTTGATTCCTATGCAGCCCATCAGTTGAGATTCATTTTTTTTAAAGATTGAGTTATCCATTTATTTTCCCCCATAGGATAGTACAAGGAGAAGACAACAATCATATATGCCTCAAGAATATCTAAGTGAAACGCAAAATTATCTGCAAAAATACAGCTGTATACAATCCTCAAATCAATCTTATAAGTGCCATCAATATTTTATCCACCCAGATATAAACAACAAATCACAATCTCTAGATTGGTGGAAGTATGACACGGACACTGACACTATTGGTGTGGTGGCCATGAAGGTAGGAAGTTCCCACTTTACTCTCAGCGAGGAGACGAAGACAAATGTGTATGTTTACAGCTCACTCATACTTTTTCTTTTGGTGTTGATATTTCTTGCCTTCTATTTTCTCTGAAGATACCAAATAAAAATCCTCTTTGTACTTTTTCAATATCCCATTTCTTCACAAAAGTGTTGTGCTCTTATTTCAGTGTTTCCTCCCAGCCATTTTCAACGTAATTGGCTTACTACAATACGGACATTCGCCAAATATGATGTTGAAGCTCTGTCTACCGGTCAGCAGTCCTCTCAACCACTTCTATAAGCATATCTGATGGAAAGGTTGTTCAGACAGGGGATTAACACACACTTGGTCAGGAATTGCACCATGGAGTTGGGAAGCATAGCAGATTTCACAATCCATAGTAAAATTGCATTTTTCCAGGATACTGCGAGCTGGAAAATCAATTTCTAAAACGTCTTTCAAGTTTTGTAATGGAGTATTTTCTGGATCCCACAAATGCATATTCTTGCTTAGCTTAATTCCCAGGGGTTTTATCACATGGTCAGCTCCAAGAAAGTAACACTCAGGAGGCATGGCAGGGTGCCTGGGGTCAACCTCAATATTTGCTGATATTCCCTAATGCAATCCTGCGTGCTGTCACACTCTGGGTGGGTTTCTCTGGCTGAAGGACCCAGGTCTTCTCATCAATTTCATCCATAGCATCCTAGAATGCCTTCAGTGAGTCCAAGGTTGCTAAAAACTGACTATGAATGCTTTCTAAGGAGCTCTGTGGTGTCCATGACACAGGAAATGGAACTGGAAAATCCACCAAACAATCTGGTGCTTCTGCTGGATACTTCGCCGTCAACTTGAGGTTGATTTGATGCTCCCTACCAGACCCATCATGGGCTGTTAACTTGATGGTGCTGAAGGAAGGATCCACATCCACGAGTTTGTCCCAGCCAAGCGTTCCCAGCTCTTTAATGAGGCGTGAGTAGGAATGTGGAGGAGGTGGCCTGTGTTTCTCTTGCTTATTCTTTAAAGCAACTTCCAAAATCATCTTCAACTCCTTCATAAAGCTCGTCAGATCAGGAGAGTGCTGCATTCTCTGTTGTATTATTTTCTGGTATCCATTTAGTATTGTTCTCAGCTGCTAACTACAGAGTAATCTCTCATTCTTCACTTGCAAATCTTAGGCAGCGCTATTTTGAGGTGGAAGTCTCTTCCCTGGGTCAAGTCTTCTCCCGGTTCTGGGGCAGGAGCAGCGGGCTGGCCTCCATGTCCGCCCAGGCTCAGCCCGCGCAGCGCCGCTGCGAATTTGGAAGCTGAGATGCATTTTTTAAAGTCACACTTAGTCACTACATTATTTTTTTTTCCAGCTTATGGAGCTTATTATAAAAGTAACAGGCTTTGATTTAGGATTTGTGAAGAATCAGTAATCAGTTCATCAGTCAGGACAGCTCTGCTGAGCTCAGCAGTTTGGTAGCCCAGCTGATGCCCAGAGCAGGGCTCTCTCTGTCTGGCCTTTCAGTCCTTTGGCTCTGCCGAGAGAAACCCAAGTCCATCAGTAAACCTTGGTCAAAGGCACTCTTCTCTCTTGCTCCATAGACAGGTAAATGCCTACAGGCATTTAACCCCCATCATTCGTTACCTTGTCAGAAGGCCCTCAGCTTCTTGGCTTCAGGAAAAGGAAGTCCACTGTGTCATTCCAAGAAATCTCCTGTTTCCACTGCTTCTGCTCCTGTTCTGTGCTGTCCCAGGTGTTGTAAAGAATAAATCATTGAATGTACAAAACTCAATTATTCTATGTCCTGTTTCATTTCTGTCACCAAGTCTGTATTTTCTGCCTACCATTCCTTCTTCATTGTTTCAACTTTTACATTCCAGTCACCCATAATTATTAATACATCTTGGTCTTATGTTTGGTTGATTTTAGACTGCAAAAGTTGGTAGAAATTGTCATCCTCTTTGGCTTACTTGTTGGTACAAAATTTGGAAAATGTTAACATATTAATATTACTCATATTAACAAGTCTTCCATATATACATTTGGATAGATCCTGCCCACTTATAATATTGTACTTTAGAATAGATCAATTGTCTTTTTCAGTATGAATGCAGTATCATTCTTCCTCAGTTTTTCATTCCTGGCATAATAGATCATATGATTGTCTGATTCAAAATAGTTTATGCTAATCCCTTTCAATTTACCAACACCTAGGGTGTTTTCATGTGTTCCATTTTATTTTTTAAATTGTGCTTTTAGTGAAAATTTACAAGAAGGTTGAGTTTTTATTGATTCATTGATACACATTTTCCTCTTCCAGTTTACTTTGAAACGTATGTCTGTTCCAGATTGTTCATTGTCATACGTGCAATGCCTAATTACCATTAATTAGTGTTCATAATGCAGTGTTCACTATCTCTCTACTCTTTTCTTGTTTCCCTCCCTCATGTCAATCCTATTTTTACAATAGCAGTCTTAGACAGTATTTGGCCTTTTGTGACTGAGAATTTCACTCAACATGTTTTCCAGATTCCACATTGTGTAGTGTTTTACAAGTTAATTGTTTTTCAGTGTGTCAGAATATTCTATCATGTGAATGTACTACAGTTTTTCTATCCATTCATTTCTGATGTGCAGTTGGGCTGCTTCCATCTATTTGCTATTTTGAATAATGCTGCAGTAAACGTGGGTGTGCATACATCGGTTTGCGTCATAGCTCTGACATTTTATACATTTTATCTTTGACAAGTTATAGTTTTCCTACATTCATGCTTCATACACTCTACATTTCCATTATTAAAGAGTGAGTACATCTGTTTCACCTTATTTCGAGTGACTTCCAATCTGGATTGTACCTCCACTTTTCTTAGGGTTTTCAGGTACCAGTTATTTCAGAAATGGATGGCCAATCCTACTTCATAATCTGTCTTAATTTGAGAGTTCTGCTGAAATCTGTCCACAATGGGTGACAATTCTGGCAACTGAAACATCAGTGGTATATCTTCCAGCATCACAAATACAAGTTAGTCTCGTACAGTAAATTGACAGACAAGTGCTGTATTAATAAGCACAAACAATAAACAAGCAAGCATATACCTCCCAGAGATACAAAGTTTAGCAACATACAATCATTCTCCAATGCAATCAAATGATAGGTGATGTACCTCTAACAGGAAACCAAGAAGGCAATATAACATGTGAATATCATAATGCAAGGTAGTCATTGCTGGTCAAAACTGAGGCCCATGGAAATGTGGCATGATAGGGTCCAGGATCCAGTGTTGTGACACGGATGATGGCTTAGCTGGATCTATGGTACTAGTGCTTGGTACAAGGCCTAAAAGTCCAAAGACAGGCCAAGGTATCTAACTCCTTCCACCACATTTCTGGAGTTTGATCCGATACTGTGCCATCTTCACAATCTGTACTTTACTTAAATCCACTATTATAGTCACTGTATCAATCCATCTCATTGAGGGTCAGGGTCTTCTTCTTCCATTGGTCCTCTGCTTTTCAAAGCAAACTAATAACAGGTCTAAAGTTTGTGAGATGAAATTTCACCATCCTTGCTTCTAAATAGGACTCTGGCTATAATCTTACGCTGAGACAAATATGAACTGACTCAAACTTCCTCCAGCTAGGCAGGACATTATAAAGATAGAAGGAGCAGCCACTCAAGAGGTCATGACTAAAAGGTCACCCTGAATATATATCTGGAGAACCCCTTTTCTCGATGTTCTCCCCTAAGATGCTTCTTTCTGGTAGGAGAAGGGAAAGCACCTGGTTAAGGAAACCACAGATTCTCCTTCTTCTGTACTTGCATTCATGGGAATTGCATGGGTGAGATTAATGGAGAAGGATCAAAACCTCTGAAGCAAAATATATAATGATTGTCACTGCAACTTTCTTATTGCCAATGATTTTGAGTATTTCTTCATGTGTTTGTTGGCCATCTAAATATCTTCCTCTGTGAAAATACTTTCCATGTCTTTTGTCCATTTTTTAATTGTGTTAGCAGTCTTTTTCTTGTGGAGGCTGTGTAGGAGTCTGTAAACTTTCGATATGAGTCCTTTGTTTGAAATAATATTGCCATTCCCCCCCCCGCCCAGTCAGTAAGTTTTCTTTTCACTCTGTTGGAAAATTCTTTTGATGCACATAAGGATTTAATCTTTAGAAGATCCCATTCATCAATTTTATTCTGTCCAGATTGTGCATTTCTAGCTGTATTTGGCAGTATCTTTATACCACAGACTAGGTTCTTTAAGCTTGATCCCAGTGTGTCTCTGATGAGCTTTGTGGTTTTGGGCTTTACTCCACCTTCAGTTGATTTTTGTGTATGGTGTGCAATGTGGATCCTGTTTTTGCTCTCTGCAGGTAGCAATCCAGTCTGACCAGCACCCTTTGTTGAAAGGTCGTTGTTGGAGAGGATGTGGTAAGATAGGAACTCTTATGCATTGTCCATGGGATTGTAAAATGGTACAACCATTCTGGAAGGCAGTTTGGTGCTTCCTCAAAATGATGAACAAAGGAATTCTATATGACCCAGCTATTTCACTGTTTGGGATATATCCCAAGAGAATGAGAACTGAAGCACAAATGTAGTCTTGCACACCAATATTCATAGCAGTGTTATTTACCATCTCAAGAACATGGAAACAGCCCAAATGTCCAACCACACTAGAATGGATTGAGAAATTATGGTACGTTGACATGATGAAATAATGCGTAGCATGCAGGAGCAATAATTTTTTCAATTGCTGCCTAACTTGCAAGGGTCTAGAGAGCATTATTCTAAGTGAACTAACTTAGTTGCATAAGGACAAATACTATATACGGCCATTATTATAGAACAAGTATTATGATCCAAAGGGGGGGGATAGGAGCAGAGGGGTGAGGTTGGGTGGGCATGGGGATAAATCATAGGGTCACACAATGTGATGAATGGAGGGGCATGAAGGAAATGGGAAAAACAATGTGAAAAACAATGTATACAACGTTTGTAAATAAACCAATATTTTAAAAATGTGTAATGAGGACTGCAGCCTCTTATACTGACTAAAGCTCAACATCAAGAAAACAAAGATCCTCACCACTGGGCCAATTGGCAGCATCAGCATGGATGGTGAAGAGACTGAGATAGTTTATAGTTTTAGTTTACTTGGCTCCACAGTCAACACTCTTGGTAACAGCAGCCAGGAAATCAAGAGATGAATTGCATTGGGAAAGTCAGCTGTGAGAGATCCCTCAAGAGTACTGAAGAGCAATGACGTCAGGCTGGAGACTAAGGTGCGCCTGATCCAGACTATACTCTCCACAATTATGTGTTATACATCAGAGAGTTGGACAGTGACTAGGGATTGATAGAAAGAGAATTGATGCCTTTGAGCTGTGGTGCTGGAGAAGAGAGTTGAATATATCATGGATGACTAGGAGAACAAACAGGTTTGTCCTGGAGAAGGTGAAGCTGGAATGCTTTTTGGAGTCAAGGATTCTGAAGCTTCGTCTGACATACTTTGGGCATGCTGCAAGGAGGGACTGGTCCTTGGAGAAAGACATCATGTTTCGGAGAGTGGAGGGACGGTGCAGGAGAGGAAGATCTTCGATGAGATGAATCAATTCTGTGACTGGAGTGGTGGGAATGAGTGTATTTGAGACGGTGAGGTTGGCACAGGATAAGACTTCGTTTAGGGCTCTTATGCATAAGGTCGCTATGAGTCCCAAGCGACTCAATGGCACATAACAACGAGGATAACATTGTGGAAACATGTATTCAACATATTTTTATTCTCCTTTGGTAATCATGTCATCAATCTTTCCTTTTCTTATTTTTTCTTCTATTTTTTCAGATTATGTAAGAACATAAGAAAATTTTACATTTAATTTTTATATTCTAAATATTCATTAGAAACTCTGTTCTGCTCATTTTCCTCCTTAGTTGAAATTTTCCTTCCCTGGATCTAATACTGGAATAACAAACCCTTATTGTTTGTTGTTGTTACTTGTCATCAAGTCAGAACCAAATCATAGCTGATCCTCCAATGAGTTTTTCAGAGACTGTAAATTGCCAAGAGGAGACTACTCATCTTTCTCCTGTAGAAAATCTGGTAGGTTTGGAATGTCTCTCTTTGGATTGGCAGTGCAACTTCTTGCCATTAGGCCACAAGAGCTACCAGAATTGTCTATATTCAATGTAGAAAATAATAAATAATCACGTATGAAATTCAACATTGCCCCTGCTATGTGAAGCAAAAATTGGTACTAGCAAAATATAAACCAAACCCTCTGATAATTTTTTTCTCCTACTACAAAACTTTTGGAAGCAGGAGTGGCATCCACTTCCTAAACCACATACCTCTATAAACTCTATGAACTCTGACAAATGTCGATAGTTACAGAAAAGCTCTAGGCTTTTTGTTCATAGAGTCTCTATGAGTCATGCTCGACTCGACAGCAATCAACAACAGCAACAACTCTTGATCAAAAGCCGTTAGACAAGAATAACACATTTAAATTATTGGGAAATTCTGTCATTTCCACTGTAATTTTGTGTATAGAACCCACATAGATAAGTATATGAAGACATGTACAACAGTGTATAGGATATGAAATGAATCAAGATAAACACTGCATGACTTTATTGTCTGTTCTAGGCTTACATTCTTTCCACATGGGCAATTTCCTCAGTGACCCTCAGCAACAGGCCACACCTAGTGTGCCTAGACAGGCTCTTCACTCTAGGGACTGATTATTTTGAAGCAGATCCTCAGACTAGAACTTCATTAGCATCCAAACATGTTTACTGATTGTACCCACCCAGAGTCTCCAAATGAATATGTGTTAAAATGAAAAACTAACAACAATTAACTAATATTCCATGATTCACCCAGCTTACTACTCCACAATGATCACCAAATATTTAAATAACAACAATTTGGGGGAAAGATAAATTATTGACGATAAAGTGAAATGAAATGAAACTTGGTAGTAATGTTTCTGTTAAGAATGATGGAAAAATTTGGAACAGATAAGGATGATGGTGGAACAATTAGATGAACATAATTATTTGTCCCTGAATTGTACATGTGAGGACTGTTGAAATGGCAAATACTTTATTACATATATGTGTAGTACAATGGCATTTTAAGTGGTGTTAATAATAATATCTAGTAGTTACAAATGGCAGGAAAATTGATGGTCTTGAGTTTTGGCATTGGAGAGAATCCCAAAAAGTCCATGGACTGCCAAAAGAACAAGCAGATATGCCTTGGAGAAGACACAGCCAGAGTGCTCCTTGGAGGCAAAGATGGGGAAGCTTCATCTCACTCACTTTGGGCATGTTGCTGGGAGAGGATAATTCCTTGGAGAAGGACATCATGCTTGGAAAGTGCATGGCTGGTGAAAGAGGAAAAGACCCTCAGCTAGATTGATTGACACAGTGACTGCAGTGATGGGCTCGAGTGTCAGAGATTGGGAGGATGGCACAGGATAGAATGAAATACAGATCTTTTGTTCAAAGGGTCTCCATGGGTCAGACTTGACTTAACAGTATTTAATAACAATACTTATAGGAAATGACTCTATGCCAGAATGTACTTGGTACATTTCATTATTTAATCAGCAAAAATCTTTGAATTAGGCACTATTTTGCATTGATTTTCAAATGAGGACATTCATTTGAAAGTACAAAATGATTAATAAATTAGCACAGTGACAGGCACCTGCTAAGTGGCAGAGATGAACAGTTAGCAGATGTAGACATTAGAAATACTTTAATAACGTGGGAAATTGTTCAGGATATCAGATGAACTGAAATAATTAAAATCTTTATACACACTGAACGCTTAACTTATATTTGTGTCCCATATGATCATGTTAATCTCAAAGGAAAAAAATCTAGAAGTAAATCATGATAACAGCTTTTGGTCTTAGTGTTACAGTTTTGGGTACTTTCAGTTTCATTTTCACTCTGTTTCTCTGAATTCCTTCGGTGAGAATTTCTGAGAGCATACTTACTGAACCCCAATGTGATTTTCATGGATTCACATAGTTTCT